ATTAAATTAATTCCAATAATCCAAAAATACCAATAATTAAATTTCCAATTAAATTAATAATTAAAAATTCTAATTATTTAATAATCGGATTATTTGGGGTGTCACATGACACGTATGGACCTTGAAATAATAGCCCATTAGCCCAAAAATTCATGTTTGGTCACTTTAGGTTTCATGCATTTGCTCAAAATTTCCCAACTTGTACCAATCATAACTGTCTCAATTTTTATCATTTGGAGGTGATATTAGACTTTTTGGAAAGATCAAAATGTCCTCTACAATCTCTATGTTGATTATTTTTTAATTTGAAGACTTTATCTTGATGTAAGTTGCCTTGACAAAAAGTGTTTCTTTGCTGATTTTTGAAATGACCTATAATGTTTTGACCCATATCTATTAAATGAAGCATTTTTTAGATTTGGTCTTAGAGGTACAAAGTTATAGAGAATTTAATTTCCTTCGAAATGAGCTTTGGTTGAGAAAAATCTGATAAAGCATGTTAAAGTTATGTTTGGTGAAAGTTCAGTTGACTTCTCCTTAAGAAAACCCTAATTTAGTAACTTTTAACTTTTGATGAATCTTGAGTTTTCTTGATAAATCATGATGAACCCTTGATCAAGTGATGAATATGACTTCAAAATCTTGATGTTGACCAAAAATATTGAAGTTTGACTGTATGTTGATCATAATTGACTTTTTACCCAATACAATTGATTTTTAGTCATCTGAGCCATTGACTGAGCAAACTTGTGATGCAAGACTTGAAATTTGGCATGAGCATTCCTTGAGACATATGAGGAACCACGAAATCCACTTAAGGCATTATAAGCTCAAATTTCCTTGAGAAAAGTGAAACCCTAGTTGTAGGTCAACTGCTTAGGAGGAGAATTTGTCTGATCAAATATTGAGTTGCTCCCTAGGAGCATGAGGAGGTTTCTTGAAGAAAATGGGAGGGAAAATTTTGGGGTACAACACATAAATATCAAATCCCTCCAACTAATGTCCTCTAAAATTAACAATCCTCTAAATTACACTTTGTATATCTTTGACTACTTCATCCCCCAATAGTTTTGGAAAATCCCATTCAATAATTAATTCAGTTGTATCTTAAACCAATATTACAAATAAAACCACTCCAGTTATTTTCATCATTAAACCATTTAACAATATGTCCTTATGGGCCATGCAACAATATTTTTCTTTAGATGTTTACAAATATTACATATCATTAGTTGATGTATGTTCTACATGAAGATACATGAAACACAAGAAAAGGAGGTTGATTTGGGTTTCAAGTAAAAAAAATTCTTCCCAAATAAACAAGGATGAAACAAGAACAAAAATAAATGAGTACAATTATTTTTATCCTAGTATATTATTAACGAAGTTAATTTAGTCCACCCGTCAGTGTTATTTTTCATTTCTCAACAAGGATTTAATCTATTATAACCAAACTGATTACAAATAACAAAGACTACCCGTCAATGTATTCTTTAGAAATTATGATTGTACCCTAGTCTCTCAAGGAACAATCAACTCAAAAGTTGAAACACAAATAGGCGTGTTTACAAGATGCTTCTAAGAAAGTATATTTACACAAGTTTAAATACAATGATGAACACAAAAGTGTTACAAGAAAGTTAATGAATAAAATCTCACTACTTTACAGCTCTTTACGAAATAATAAAAAAGAATCAGAGAATTTTGTGCATAGTTTCTTTTCACTTGAACTTCGTTATTTTTCCATTCTTCCAAGTCTTCTTTATATAGCCAAAGAAAGATCTGTTGGAGGGTAGAATGAGAATTTTAAATTCTATTTATATTCTTGCATAACGATCAGTGTGAGTGGTAGATAACATCATACCATAATATTGTCTTTGCGCCACAAAATCAGTGTAGTGGAAGGAATATTTGATCTTGTACCATCTACTTTTTACTCATGTAAAACCTTTTTGAACTTATCTTCTAATCTTTAGAGGCTTCAGAAAGGGTTTTGGTGAAGCATGTTTAGAAGGATCAAAACACAAAGAGAGTCATCAGAACCTATCTTCAGAGTCTTCAAAACTTGGTCAACAGAACCTTATCTTCAGATTCTTTAGAACTTGGTATTCAGAACCTCAGAGCTTGAGAGTGTAGAATCTCCATGACCTTGTCTTCAGAGTCTTCAAAACTTGTTCAGCAGATCCTTGTCTTCAGAATCTTCCGAGCTTGTTCTTCAGAAACTCTACCATCAAAGTCACAACCAGAAGCTCTAGACTAACGTTCATCAGAACCGTTATTTAGAAGTATTTCTGAACTTGACAAAGTCTTGTAACACATACTTTGTATCTCTCTAGAGTCTGAGTGTGTTGATTCTAGAAACTAATGGAGTCACACGCTACTCTGTCAGAGTCATAATCTATTAGCAAAAACTACACACTAAACAAAACCATTAGGATACAAAATTGTTCTCTGACAAACATTATATTTTTATCCTCAAAACTAAAGGCCAGATGCATAACCAAATCTTGTTCTTACACTACAAAATTTATATAGGCATATTTCTTGAATCACAAAATCACACAAAATTTAAGCATTTTAACAATTTTATATGCTAGTGAAAACTCAACTTTCATATTCCTTAAAAGTTCTACAAAGTGGTCCAGAAGGAAATTTTTTTCCTTTCACTAATATTTTAAGCATACTCGACATCCTTTATAGGTTGATTTGTCGTCATACATCTAAATAGAGTGGAATTGTAGAAAGTAATTACATATGTATTGTTGATAGTGGGTTAACTTTTCTTTCTCAAAGATTTTCAATTTCTTGCCTCAAATAGTCGTATATGTATTACTAAAGATATCATCTTCAAAGAATACAAATTTCCCTATCCACGTATGTTTCAAACTAGAACTGATATCACTGTCAAAAAATCACACATTTATCCCATAACTATATTCATTCCCACATCAACGATGATCCCATAAATATTCACCTCTTTCGACTAATGTCCCCTAAAATCAACACTTCTCGAAATCACACTTTGTGTATCTTTGACTACTTCATCCCCTCACCAGTTCGGATAATCGTATTTAACAATAAAATTCAATTGTACAACAAACCACTATTACAAGTAAAGCCACTCTAAATATTTTCATTATTGAACCATTTACCAATATGTTCTTGTGGGGCCCTGCACCAATATGTTCTTCAAATGGTTACAAACATGACATATCATTTGTTGATGTATTACCATATCCACATATACTTATTTCTCGATTCATAAATCACATTTCATTCAAGCATTTCAACAATTCTATAAGTTAGTGAAAACTAAAATTTTGTATTCTTTAAAAGTTCAGGTGATTTAGATGAATAATTTTGTTTTTTCACTAATATTTTAAGCAAACTAGACATCATACATAGGTTGATTTGTCATCATACATATCATTAAAGTGGAACTATAGAAAGGAATCAAAGACATGTTATTGAAGTGAGGTTAACTTTGCTTTCTTAAAGTTTTTCAATGCCTTGTCTCAAATAGTTGTTTATGTGTCACAAAATATGTCATATTCAACGGACGTGAATTTCCCCTATCGAAATATGTTTCCATCTAATACTTATATCACTGCCATCAAATCACACATTTATCATGAAATTATGACTATTTTATATTCAATAATCATCTGATAGATACTTCACCTCCTCAAACTAATATCTCCTGAAATCATCACTCCAAAATATTACAATATGTATCTCTCTAACTACGTCATTCTTTCATGAGCTTAAGACAATCACATTAAATAACATACTCAATTGGTTTCAATTACACAACAATGTAATATTGTAAATAAAAACACTCTAGATATTGACATTGTTGAGTCAATACTAGGTATTAACAACATTGATCATTCTATGGTGATAAGAGAAAAACCTGAGAATTTGAAGCCTAAGTTTTAGCAGGCTCAGCCTATTCCTAGTACTGTCAAACAAGTACTACAAGATGCAAACTGGATTTCTTCAGTGTAATCAAAATATAAATCACTCATCTCCGACAATACTAGACAATTATTCTCAATCCAAGTGTAAAAAAACAATTTACTACGGATAAATATTTATAAATCAAGGAAAATCATGATGTTACTATAATCAAATACAAGACTGGTCTTTTTGCTAAAGGATATCACCAAAGTTTTCGATTTATGAATATGAAAAAAATATTTTCTTCACATGTGATGCCCTTAACTGTTAGAATCATCATTCATCTAAATCTTACCAATAGTTGAGACATTCGCCAAATAAATATCAACAACGTTTGAATTTTATTTTGTCAAGGAGAAGAAAATCTCAGAACAACTCAACATCAAGATTGTTCCTAGTGTAACTCAATTATCTGATTTCTTTACCAAGCCTATTTTCATCCGCTCAATTTACAACCATTTTAATTGAGTTTGAAGGGATAGGTATTCGTGTATAGTTAGACTGATCTATTTTCTAATTCAAATTAGTCATCATTATATCAATTTTTTGATAACTCGATATCTGACTCAAGGACTGACTAATTTGGAAAACCAATTCCATTGCCTAATAGTGGAGTCTAGTTTAAATCAGAGCAAAACTCTATACATACTAACCCAACACAACAATCGTTAACACTCATAAAATTTAAATCAAAACCTAAAAAAAACACCCTGAAATATCAGAAATCACAAGCCTTCAACGTACGAGTTCATGTCATTACTATATAATTCAAACTCTATCTTATAGAATTTGTTGAGCTTGTAACAATCACATAATACAAACATAAAATAAAATGTTGATGTACTTAAGTCAAATAAAAATTAAGAAAAAAATATATTTTGAATGTACAAGTTCCCAATGGACTAAATCGAAGTACTACTAAAGTGAAGAAATTTAAACAAAACAAAACAAAACCTTTTGATGTATGTTCCAAAAAGTAAAACGGTCTCTACCCCTCCTTTCCCTTCTACCATAGTCCCATGTTGTTCCTCCTCTCTCATTCATTCAAATTTATCTTCATCTTCTTCTCTGTCTATGCTTCTACCACAAATGAACCTAATAAAAGCCTCAATCCAATTAAAACATCCAGAAATCGTGCCGCCAGGGCCGCCACATTTGAAACACTTGTAAAAAAAGCCCTTATTATTTTTACCAAAATCTTGTCCAGTTAAATTGGACAATGGTCGAAGATATGCTATCGCAGCTTGTTTTAGAAGAGGATTTTTTAATGTGACCTCATTCATGTTGGAATTCAAATACATGATGTCCTTCAAACTCGTATACTTGAATGATGTCGTTGGCACATTCATCTTTGTCTCCTCCAAATTCATCCTTGGTCACTAAGGGTTCCTTCTGAATACGAATTTTGTGGGAATAATTCAAAATTGTTTTTACCTCTAATCATTTTACTTTTTTCAACTTTTACTGAGAAAGATCTGATTTTTATTCCTTTAATAGAAAAAAATTAATTAAAAATAAGAAAATGATAAAATAGGTAGAGGGATATCCGATAGAGTCAGTGAGTGAAATAGTTTGTTTGTTTTAGAAATTTTAGAAGTTTGCACGTGCGTGTTTGTGTTTATTACTTAATTTTTTTTGCTTAATTTTTTATAAATACTTTCATATCTTTTAATTTAGTTGAATAAATACTTATTATTAATTAAAAAAAATTCAATATCATTTTATTTTGTTTTAAAATAAATTTAAACTCAACGTTATAAAAGTACTATTTATAATCGATTTTACGTTATCAATACATTATATTTAATTACTCTCTCCCATTAAAAGTAATTAATTATTCTCTAATCACTATTATAAATAAATAATAATTTTATTATGTTTAAAAAAATAATAAAATATAATTAATTTTATAAATTTTATGTAAAAGACGAGATAATTATAACTAAAGTATTTTTGTTGATATTCAATGAATACTTTCTATTAATTTTCGAATGAACATGATGATGATACTATAACAGTGATAATGTAGAATAGAAAACTCGATAATAATAGAAGAACATTAATATGATAGACATTTTTTTATGTGAGGATAAATTTATCTTATTATTTATACGATAGATGTCAAAATGGATTATATTTAATTTTTCTATTTTGAATATTAAAAATTAATATAATTAAATTAATATTTAATGTTTTACCTTTAAAAAAATCCGTATTATAGTAATTTGTGTTAAATTGGATATTTGTGTATTACTTGATAAAATTTTAAACTTGTATTGTATTAAATAACATATTAGATTATTTTTAAATATAGTACATGGAAATGTATGATATTTAAATTAATATACAGTGTATAATAATAGTATGACAATTTTTTTATTTATTTTATATTTATAAATAATAATAGATGATTTGGTTTGGTAGAGAAAATAAATTATGTGAACGTATTATTATGGATCCATGTGTTTTTACGTAAGAAGTCTGCAACAATCTTTTGATTTGGTTTTGATGTTGACAATGCTTTTAAGAGAAGTCTTTATCTGTCTTGTTATTTGAGGCTCGTAGGTTTAGAAGATATACAATTTGATATGATGCTCAAGTGATGAAGCTTGACATGTTTCTAATCAAATGATAATGCTTGATATGTGGATCAAGTGATGATGTTTAATATGTTGATCAAGAGATATATTGTCGCGGCTTAAAAAATTCAATGAAGTTGTCACCATTATTTATTTGTCCTATGGACGGGGAAGATAACGAGAAAACCCTAAAGATATGGATAAAGCAGTCGTCGCGACCAAATTAAGGGTTCAAGAGTCAATTAAGTGAGGGAAATGTGTTAGACATCCTTCACATCCCTTGTAATCAAGGCAAACCTTCTCTAAACTTAAGGTTACTAGGTGTTTGCTAACTTAATTCTTGCTTAATTTTCTCTCTATCTATTTATGTACAAGTGATGATAACTATTCTAAATGTTAGTGGCTAGCGGTCTTGTTAAGGCAATACACCTTATGCCTACATATTCATCAAGAGATGAAATCAGAGACCTACGTAGTTTGGGTTATTGGTTAGTGTTTTTTTATAGAATGAGGTGAAATCACATTCGAACGATAAACATATGCATGTGATGCACTCACTGATAGGCTTAGGCTTGTTTCTAGTTCGTATTTAAGGGATCAACTCGATTCCTTTTTGAAAAGAAGTCTTGATATGAACTATGTTAGTGAAAAGAGTTTTTTGAATTGATTAGCTGATTTAACCTATAATAAAGGAAAGTGTTTTTTTTGTCTTTTTTAAATTCTGGTGTTCAGATCTCAGATGTCCTAAAAGATGTCGAGACACATTTCTCTGAACAAATACACAATGACAAGGTATATGATAAACAAAGTGCAGAAAAATAAAGAACACACAAGATTGTTAACCCAGTTTGGTGTAAACCAACACCTACTCTGGGAGCTACCAAGCCATGGATCAAGTTAACTACTAATAGTATCAATTCAAAGCAAAACTCTCCCGTTTACAACTTCTCACTTAATCACTACCCTTGCTTAACTTCTACCTAAGACTCCCCTAGGTATGAGACCCTTCTCAAATCCCTTACAATAAGAGCATAATGATTGACCAATTCTAAACACTTATAAAAACAGCACAGAAGTCACACTTCAAAGACACACAATCATTCACTACTTAAAAGCTTTGGAATGACTGACAAAACTTTCAACTCAAAAACAATCATACGCATTCATCAATATGATAACAAAGAGGTCACAATAAACACATAAACCCTAACATAATACAAAGTAAGTTCAACAACATGCACTAAGGTTGAAGCCTTCTATTTATAATCTTCAATGAACTGGATTTGAGCTTCACATATGCAGATGGATATGACAATGGTGCTAGAGTATTAAATCCTCAAAGATAGAAAATCAATCATTAGTTTCCTCAATTATCTCCATAATTAGAAACTAACAAATCTCCTTGAAATTAAATTGAATATTTTTAAACCTTCTAGCACAGCGCCACATAGGATAGATAATATATTACTGAATATTCTTCACTTCTAACAAACTAAAAAATTCAACATTCCAGCTGTACAAATTCACGATGTCGAAAGAACCAACATAGGACATCCCATTTGACATGTTGCTTCAGTTGATAGAACATCTTCATTCAACATGTCTAAGCTAAGTTAGTTTTACCAAACATAATGTCAATCACAAAAAATTGAGAAATAACAAGCTCTTCCTTTGGTTTATTTTGGCTAAAATAACTTAGCACATATTCCACATAAACAACAATAGCTCAGGTTTGAGAAGCACCTCAAACACACACACACGATCAGAGACATAGCTGGAGTAGTAGCAGAAGTCAGAATAATAAATATCAGAGTAATAGCTAGTGAAATCTACACAACACACTCCCCCTCAACAAATAATGGCTAGCTCACAAACAAATACACCCAAATAATCCCCCTTTTTAGCCATAATATGACAAAGGTGAGAAGCTAAACAACAGTCCAGTGACACAGAAAGTGCTTAGAAGTAGTTCGGGTAACATGACCCTTACATATCCGAAAACCAAATACACATAAAACAATAAATACAAAAATTAAAAGTCTTGAGGAGGAAGATTATGCATCATCAGCAGACTCATATGTCTCTTCTTCTTCATCAGTATTATCACAACTAGAAGCATTCTTACCAAGATCATCATCATTTGAAACATTCTGATTACTAGTCATATCAACACCATCAGAGGCAATCTTATCAGAGGTACTTCCACCTTTAGTTTAGAATCAGCAGCAACACTCCCAGGCCAACCTGGTTCTTCTCTTCCTCCATCAAGACCTTAATTAATCCTTCAAGTTTGACCTTCATGTCAGAGCTAGTCTTGATAATTGCATCTAACTCCGATAAGTTTCTTTTAACTGAGCAATGGCTCCTTCCTTGGAAGTTTTAAGGCCAGGTGCCCGAGAAGATGTCCCAACAATGTCTTGGACATGTTCACCACTAAACAATTTATAATGTAAGGTCAAAGGAGATGTATTTTTCTTTACACTATCAAACGGAAATAAGATTCCAGGGTGTTGACTTATGATTATGCCACAAATGAGAGAAAGGAAACATATTGGCAACTTCACAGTATTTGAAGATGCTTGCTTCAGGACTTGTTCAAAAATGTATTTACTAAAATTAAATATTTTTTCTTTACCTTTGGAAAAAATGAATTTTCCAAGCCCACTGAAGATATTGGAGGTATGGTTTGTGGGAACCCAATTTACAGTATCCACCCTATGAAGAATGGCATACTTCACACTTAGCTTGCCAGAGGATAACTTCCCTTCATTAGGCTAATGTTTTACCTTACCACTAGTGATTTCATTGCACTCTTCATTATTTTAAGCCTCTAGTTCTGTTTGAGGCTCTTCAGATCTTCCTAAAAAGTTATTAATCACCGTGGGACAAAAGGTCACAATATTTCCCCTAACATATACCTTCATGTGATCTTTACTTCCCACCACATCACAACCATCAGATATATTCTCCACAAAATCCTTCACCAGTCTTTCGTAGTAAGGGCTAAAGCTTGAGATAGTTTTCATTAGACCATCCACTTCTATAAGATTTATGACATCTTTGCATTTTTGAAAGTCCTTGCCCAATTCCCTTTCCAAGGCTAATCTTCTTTGCACAACATTCGTTCATTTACTAGCATTTTCTTTAACATGAAACATTACCTTATCCTCTGAGACTTTGTGAACATCAACACAGGTCTTTTTAGATGCAAATATTTTGTTGGGAATGATGTCATGGACATCCTTCTCAATATTAAAATCAGAGTCACTAGAACTCACAACTTTTCTCATTTTAGAGGGAATAACAACTTTGCTCCACGGTTTTGAAGGACCAACTTAATATTTTCCCTTGAAGGTTTTAGAGGGAGTAATTTTCTCATTACTAGGTTTCCTTTTGTCTTCCTTAGGAGGTAAACTTTCAACCAATACAACCTTTTCTTTCCTTCTTTGCAGTCTTTCTACTATTTCAGAACGCAAGATTTTGATCAGGGGTTCCTCATCAGATGTCAGTTCATCAACATCAATAACCAAATTTGCCTTTGTCTTTCTTCTTCTCTCACGGGCAACATAATCAGAATTAGCATCAACATTCTTTCCACCGGTATCTTCCTTAGTCTCAATGACTTTTGGTAGAGATGCTTGAACATTCGGTTTACCATCTGGACAAACTTCATCCAGAATAGTAGAAACAAACTTCCTAAGTTATTTATCGATAACATTCTTTCTAGTTCTAGACTTATTCTTATAATTGGAGAAGGATTCATAGGGATT